GTAGAGCGTGTAAGTGTTGCTTATTCTTTGTGGTGTACGGTGCACCAGATCACACTATGTTTTAGTTCAAATTAGAAGAGCATCATTGGTTATGTTTGATTGAAAAAAGTGATTACCTGACTCAAATAAAACTTTTTGGATCTAACGTGGTAAGTAAATCATATATGGTTTACATAAAATGCTGATAGATGAGCCATTTAGTTGCTAGTTTTTTTACTTGAAATGCTAAAAACATGCTCGTGTTTTATGCAGATGTCTTATGAACCATATGGTTCATAGGAAAGGTTTGGGCTTTGCTAAACCATATAAGAGTATAACCTGTCCTAAAAGAATTTTCCTTCCCAGGAAATGGACATATTATGTGTTGTTTCTATGTGGTAGACTATTTCCAGCAACATGCAGATTGATAGAAATGCTTGAGGGATTTAACAAAATCAATGCCTTAGCAGATTGAGGTTGTTTCAGGAATGTCAAAGGTATACCATTGTATTCACCTAAACTTAAACTCATATTATTAATTTTTCTGTATGTTATACTAAAGATATCAAGTGCTGCAAACTTGCTTCTTTCTTTTTATTGGTCTTTAAGAATATGCTTCTAAGAATAAAGTAGGGCATTTCCGTAACAACAATGAGGAGGGGCTTAAATAAACACTGTAAAAACGTAACTATAAAGTAAATATGAGCTTTACCCATTTATGTTTTTATTTTATGAGTAGAGGAATCCAAGGCTTCACTAGCTTCAAAGTGAAGTGCATGACAAAATCAATAAATTTATGAGTAAGGTCTTTATACTGTAAACAGCCTTATTAGTCAAGTTATTTAGTCTCAGATATGGGTAAATGAGTACAAATATAATATGGTTGCACTAATTATGAATTGGCATGGGAAAAATTATTATCTAAAGAGCCCTTTAGGTAACACTAAAATTGGCTGAATTGGTTGATTCTGCTGAAATTTATGAAGTTCTGGCTGAAGTGGTTGTATTGGCTGATCCTGCTAATTCATGAAAAAACTATATTTAAAATATCTATTATTATTAAATTAAATAAAAAATTATATGAAAAAATAGCTAAAATGATCTTCTACAGTAACTTCAGCCAAAACAGCCAGAAAAGTAACTCCAACTATTCTTTTTCTGTTTTTTTACAAACTTCAGCGCGAGAAATCAAAAATTACGTGTTTGGTGAAAAAGTTGGCTGATAAGCCGTAAAAAAGGTTACCAAACGTGCTAAAAATCTCTAGAAATCTTAGGTTACATACCAACATTCTCACAAATTCGTATATTGTCATTATCAAATTTACTTTTTTCTTTCTATCTTTTTATTGTATATGGGCAACCCATGGTTATGAATACACACAACATTAGATTATGTATAAAGGTGCCCAACAATAGAGATTAATTTTTAAAATGAGATTACATGTATTGTTGACATGTTTTTATATTGGAAAATATTAACACATATCTGATTGAAATCAGTAAAGTAATGAAATGGTTCTTTTTACAAACACCCGGAGTTGCATGGAATTCGACCTTAAACATGGAATTTTACCCTAAACACGCACTTAAATCAAATATCAAAGAGTGATGTGCTGCTTGTGAAGGTGTTGGTGTAGTGAGTAGCCCAAGAGGCAATAGCTCACCCACACAGAGGAGTGAAAATTGAATACGTAGGTTCTTAGTTCTTTAAAGACACTTATTTGCATATTTATTTCTCTTATTAGGTGAACACTTCACTTTCGTTTACTTTTGATGGGTTGCTATGATTAACCCATTTTAAATGAATTTTTCATATTAGAAACATAAAAATAGCTTCAGAATTGGTCTTACTTAACAGGTTTATTTCAATATTTAATTTGCTTTTTAGAAAATATGGAGGTGTCGTGGTAGCCCAAGAGCTCGCTCTGAAGTAACTCGAAGGCATGCAAATTGATTTAATAAGTTCTTATTGCTTTAGACAAATTTATTTAGAACATGCATATTTTGTTCATGAATTTTGTAGATTTATCCACATGAATACAAAAGCTTTTGTTTTCTGTTCAGATTTGCTTTGCTTCTACTCATAATGCTGTATGTCTAATAGTGTGGTTGTATACTTTGCATCATTAATGCAATCATTTTCACTCATTTGACAATAATACACAAGGACAACTGGAGTATTGTATCATTAATCAAATGGAGGATCCTAAATAGACAAATGTCATGAATAAGAAATGTATTACCAAGTAAGTCTGTTGATATATATATATATATATATATATATATATATATATATATATATATATATATATAAAGTTTTAAAGTTGTTAGAGTAACACTCAGTCACTTTTGTTTTAAAGTTGTCTTAGGATGATTTTGGTGTTTCAATAGTATACACTCCAATCGTAGGATTGTATGCCAAAATTACTCAAAAAAATTCAAGGCACCACATGGGATGTATTTAGGTGCCAATGATAAGGGAGATACGATGTCTCTGATTCGTAATTGATCTTCTCAACATGTATTAAATAAGTGGCCTGCTATTATACATTGTTTTATATGAGAAGAATATTTATCATTCCCCTTTTTATTGTAAAGTGCATGCTTATTATTTTTTTAATATCTATTATTATTTAATTATGAATTTAAAAATTCATAATTGTGTTATTTGTTTATATATAATATCTAAAATTATATCTCGTGCCATGCACGGGTGAATTCGTGAGTGTTGTTTGCTTGGTAATCATATGATGATTGTAAGTATAACCTGATATTTAGTTTAAAAATTTGTATTTAACATAAAGTTCACTGATGATGCAAACTTTTTTGGTATCTTCTAATATAATATTTTAGCCATAAACTTTAACATCTCAAAGAAATGCCAATGGGGCATGAAGGGGCTACACTTTTTGAAACATTGAAAAGGAATAAAGGTGGACTCGGCCTGAGACCGGTAACTAGATTGAAACCGCCCGGTTTTGAATCAGTACTGGAAAATAAGGTTCTGGTCCGGGACTGGAACCGGACCGGTGGGAAAGAGGTATTGGTTTTAGGCCTCCATTTTTTAGACCGAGACTGGACCGGTTCCAAGCCTGTATGGTTTAAAGCTGTTGATATGCGTTGGCTAGAAATCAAATAAGTTACATAAAAACGTCACCCACAAAGTCGTCTTAAATATTTTGTGTGTATTAAAATTCTAAAATTATTTTTTTACAACTTGTTCCATTCATGTGATACGGATAGATACACTTATAATTAACATTATTATATTTGCAAATTACATCTTGTGCAACGCACGCGTGGAATACTAGTGATGGACTGTCGACCCTGGGGTAGCCGGGATCAAGGAAAATAAGGTATAAGATTGAGAAAATTTTAAAGTAAGATCGAGTGTATATTTCAGCAAAGTAACAACAAGAGAATTCTATTAGGGATCACTTTCCACGTGTTGGAAGGTAATAGTTGGAGCCCACGTAAAAAAGATGCTATTCTATTGTGGAGAGGACACGTGTCCTACATGTCTAACAGAATTATTAGACTGATCTAATAGTGTGCTGACACGTGTTAAGGTGATTGGAGAGATAACCGGGACAACTGACTGATTGGAATTGTGTGTAACAAACTTGTAGCGTAACATGCGTACAGGTTACACGTGTATTTTTCTGGAATATTCTTTATCTTTATCCGCTTGGAGTGATATGGCGCTCCTTACAGTACCGATGACGTGGCGTCAGAAAGCATGGTACGTGACTACGTGAAATGCCTAAGTCCATACACTGTTGGTGAAATCCCGAGCTCCTGGAGGTCAGAGCTCGGTTGCATGAACTCATCAGTGAAGGATTTATCTTTGATCTTTAGTCTTCACTGGCAACGTTGACTCTCTTGTTGACTTCATATGACTTTGCATTAGCGGAACATGTCGGAGTTGGTACCGACCTCGGTGTGACTGAGGTCGGCCTCATATTTTGCTTTGTCTGTGCGATCCCCGAGCTCCTACCTCAAGGTGGGGGTCGAGATTGGCCTCGACTGACTTCTGTCTTTTGTTGATTCATCGTCTTATGTCTTCCCCGACCTTGGGTGTCGAGGTCGGAGGTCAGTTGGAACCTCTATCCTTAAGTATCTAAGGTGTCTTGGGATTTTAGTTGGTCTGCTGATCCTGGTACCCCTGGGGTGTATGGGAATATACTCCATCAACGAGTAAAGTATAAATTGTGTGGTTGAAATATGTGCAGAGGAGAGAACAACAACATGAACCATAAATTCATTGATTAAAAGGGAAAGTGACAAAAATTTTGAGACATCTAAAAAAGAAAAGATGACAAAATTATAAGGGACTAGACCTGTCAATGGGTCGGGTCTAGACCCGTTCTTGATCCGAGTTTAACACTATATTTGAGTGTATGGGTCTAAATTTAGAGCCGTTTCCCAGATTCGAATCCAAACCCATTACATGAGAGAGAAAAATGGGTCGGATATGGATGTTTAAGTTCCGGCCCGTTTTGGATCCGACCCTCGATCATATAATTATAGTTATAATTTTATTTACACACACAATATACATAAGAATATTTAAACAAATATAAAAATTGTAGGCTTAGTTAGTGGTTAGCCCACTATAATGGGGTTTTCCCAAATGAGTTTAGTGCTCTAGGTCCTTTTGATATCAAGCCCTTTCTTGTCTCAGAATTTGAGGATGTATAGACTAATGGAAAGAACAACATTTTGCATATTTTTACGAATCATCTCTTCCAATGTGAACAGAATTTTGTTGTGTACTATATTTGTTTGCATATGTCAATTAATTTTTTTTACGGGTATACCCGACCCAGATCCGAGACCCGGCGGACCCAAATCTAGAACATATGTTTAGAACCCGAAGGGTAAATGGGTCTGGATTAAAAATTACTCAACGAATATGAATATGGAATTTATAGTTCCGGTTCGTATCAGACCCGTTGACATGTCTACAAGGGAAGGAGGGAGTATTGAGTTAAAACAAAAAAAAATTGGAATTGGACCACTGCAAAATAAAATCTGGCCCAGTGGAAAAAATTGGTCCATAGCTAATCTAAAAAAAAGAAATGAGTTGACTGTTGACCTCAAGCGCAGGCTCGCAGCAGAGGTCGATGAATTAGACGCACGCCGCAGCCCGCAGCCCGCAGCCCGCAGCGCAGGACTCCACATACCGCCACACCGCTCGCTGCTCGCATTGTCGGACGCCGCAATCCCGCTCACAGCTCGCCAACTCCGCCTCGCGCATCGCCGGAGGCCGCACGCCCTGACGCCCCCCTTCTGCAATCTGCCGCTCCTGCTCGCTTCTTCTCTCGATTCAGGTTAGATCCTCTATTTCTTTACAATTTATATTTTAATTTAAGTATTTATTTGTTATTTTAGTTTTTGTGAGTGATTTAGTGTGTCCTTTAATTCGTTTGTGTAATTGTGTGCTTTGAATTTTTAAATGGAAAATTAGGAATGCCAAATGTGATATGTGAATTTTTTAAATTAATAATGATTTAATATGAATTATGTGAATTAAAATAAAATAGTGATTAGTTTGTTTTTTTGCTAATTATAGTAGGGTACGCTACTCAATCTACTTTCAAAAAGGCAAAAACTACATTGCTTTTGTTTTATAGCCTAGTACAAGCACACAAAAGAGACAAGAGTTAAATGTCTCAATTGAAACTCCAAATATCTCATCCGCTCAAGAGGAACTAGTTCTGATGCAGTTGTAATTGAGCGCGATATGGGAAAACGGAAAAACATAAGTGATTGGCCGTTAGAAAAAAAGAGATTAAATTAGACAATCTTTATGTACTGTTTACAAATATTATTATGAATTATGAATTTTAATGGATTTTAATCATTATGTTCACACTATTTATGCTTTTAAATATTCTATATAGTGTTTTTAGTTTATAGTCGCCCCCCATGAACATCCGTTCTGGCTACGCCCCTGAAACTAACTATTTTCCTTATTATTAAAACTGGTTTTCCTGCAATTAAGAGCAAAAGTAACTAACTAATATGACTCAACGCTTAAATCAAAACAGTATTGAACCCCCTAAATGTAATGTTATTCGGTCCTCATCTCACTCAAACAAATATATGCTAGTTGTTGAATATTTTATCACCCTAAATCAAACAGAATGTTATTCTTTATATCCTACATCCTATTCTTTGCAAGTACATGTCTAATTTAATCTTTTATTCTTTACATCCTACATCCTATTCTTTGCAAGTACACGTCTAATCTAATCTTCATGCCTTTGCTAATAGGATAAATGGAACATGGTACACTCAACGATCTATCCAATGCAACATTCTCTCTGACAGATGAGGATCATACACTTGCCAATGCACTTAGATTCGCTCTTAATCAGGAGTATGTTGTTGTTATCAGTGTTATTATTATTAAAGCCTTGACTTAGAATTCTAAAGAAACTTCTGCTCATTTATGAATATTCTGACTATAATCTTATTACTTAATTCTGTTATTGTCGAGTGAATAGCAACTTTGGGTGTGTCGGGTATATCTTGTTCTTAACAAGCAATACTTGATATGTTTTTTAAAAATGCACATACACGATTGATAAAACATAAAAGCTATGAGCTTTTTAAGAAGTTGAATTCAAAATTATTATCTTTGCCATTTTAATTAAAATAATCATACACACCCACACTGCCACACAAACTCTTATTCCAAGCATCACTCACAGTCTCTCATAAGTTCTACTTCTAAAAGTTGAACCAAGGACACAAAAATACATAATCATACACACCCACACTGCCACACAAATATACATGGGCCTCATTTTGCTATAATTTTCTTGACATGTATTCCAAATTTTATATTTGCAGTCCCAGGGTCGTACTTTGTGGCTACAGCATTCCACATCCATCCGAGGCCCGAGTTAATATAAGAGTTCAGACTACTGGTAAAGATCAGAACTTTTTTCCTCCAATGAGCAAATTGCTTTTCTTGGTCTGATTTTATTATGTTTCTGCATCTTAGTAGACTTAGTTTTAAAAAGCACACATCAGGCGCGACTGAGCGCAATGCACAGAGATGCAAGTAAAAAACCGCAACAGCTTATGTGGGATTGTCATCAATTTGACGATTATGTGTCACAAGTTTTTCTAGAGTTCTGTATTCTTTACATTAGAGTTAAATGAGAGGCATGCATGTACTTCCCACTTCACAGAGTCCATAGCAACTCCATCTCTTTTTCTTTATCACAAATCAAACCCTTCCCTTCTCTTCATAAGTTGCATTGCAGATTTACATTTTGTCCCTCACTCCCTCTTTCACGTAAGTTTTTTCTCTCCTTCTCTCCTTTCTTCTTGGACTTCTTCTATTAATCTTTTCCTATTTTCCCACTTCTCTGAATCTATAACTATTTTCCCTGTAATCAACTGCCTTATTGCTCCCATCGCATACAGAGCAGTCTGTGCTCATGTTCTCATTCCTTATAATCTGTGTGTATGACTATATGTGTTCCATGCCTGGTTTTGTATTCCCAGCAGACTGAAACTAACATTATAGTTCCAATTACTAACTAGGAGCCTTTATATTATAACTAGAATAGAAGTCTTAAAACTGATTTCTAATCTTTTTGAGTCTTAAAACCAGACGCCTTAATAAAACAGAAGCCTTAATTCCAATTTCTAATCTTTGGTGTTTAATATGCTTGTTAAATGATTTGGAGTATTTTTATGATGTTATCATCACTTTTGGGTATCATGTATGAGTAGTATAAATATTGTTTAGGAAATATATATGCTAAGTTCTGAGAGGCGCACATCCACCTCGCGCCTCGGCTAAATTCAACAAAATGCCTCATGTCGCCTCGCGCCTAGGCTTAATTCAACAAAAATCCCTCATGTCTCCTCGTGCCTAGGCTAAATTCGACAAAACCCCCTCATATCTTCTCGTGCCTAGGCAAAACTCAACAAAAGTGCCTCATGTCGCCTTGCACCTTTTAAAAACAAGCTAGTAGATACTTCCTCCGTCTCTTTTTAGTTGCAACAGTCAACATTTCACGTTTGCCAACGCACAACTTTGACCGTCATTATATTTAATTCTGTATTAGTAAAAATAAAATAAAAATCAGATTATAAAACTTAGTAATGAGACGAATTTAACAATATTTTTCAAAAATAATAATTCACATACATTAATAAATAAAATGTAGTCAAAGTAAAGTACATGAATAGTGTATATATTACAATGATGGTCCAATTGTGTGATTGGTAGCTGTTGGATCATTAGGTCATGGGCCATGTGATTTAATGACTCCTATGGACCAAGAGGAGTAGAGAATCCAAGTATACACAACAGTTTCACCATTTAATGATAATTCTGAAGTTTTCTTTTAACATATTTTCGTATGCATGCATCTACTTAGTAGGAAAACGGTCTATATTTTCATGAGTTATTTTGGATGGGAACTGGTTAGAATTCTGAACTGTTGCTTGTTGCAACTGCAGGTGATCCAGCTCTGGAAGTGCTGAAAGATTCATGCCAGGATCTAATGGTTATGTGCCAACACGTTAGGAGCACGTTTGATCAAGCTGTTGCAAATTTCAAGAATGAAAAATCCCCGGAAGACTTGGATTTGCAAAAGCGATGATTGGTTTATTACTTGAGTTACTTTTCACTATTCATATATGTATCAGCGATTGTAACATATTGCAAGTATTTTGGTTTTCATATACATCTCTCTCCCATTTTGTTTGTCACATACATTGTTCAGGTGCTCAATCATTTCCCTTTTGTGTATCGCTTTTTAACACATTTGAATTTAGTTTTTTTTTTTTTTTTTTTTTGCGTTAGAACATTTAGTGCAATTTCTAATATGTAATTTCTAAAGTTGCATACACATGAATTGTGTCATTTGTGTGTGGTAAAGGAAAGGGGCTGAGGGAATAAACTATGAAAGGAAATTGGGTTAGGCAAAAGCAAAACAATGAAAGGATATCCTTAGAAAGAAGGTGATTGGGTCAAAGACGGCAGATTTGTTTTGGCCAGTGTAGTGCTATAGTGGGGCCAATTTTTTTTGCTGGTGTTGGGTGAGTTTTTTTGCTAGTTTTGGGCCAATTTTTTTTGCGACAATTTTTTATTCAAAAGTATATCATTAGTGCATATGTGGCATTTAAATCCATTACTTTCTAATTTTACACAATGGAAAAAATAACTTTAATTTTAAAATTGAAGTTCTCTAGAAAAGAGTAGGGATAAGGCTCAAATTGAACACTATGGTTTCATCAGAATCTCATATTGGACACTAAGGTTTCAAATGGACCAAATTAGACACTATGGTTTCATATATATCTAATATTGGACACTAAAGTTTCATAATTCATAGTTTTTGGACACTCACTTATATTGGATAAAGATCAAATTGGACACTCACTTATATTGAATTATGAAACTTTAGTGTCCAATATGAGATACATATGAAACCATAGTGTCTAATTTGGTCCATTTGAAACCTTAATGTCCAATATGAGATTCTGATGAAACCATAGTGTCTAATTTGAGCCTTATCCCAAAAGAGTATTGGTACATACATTTAGTTGGATGTTTTTACTTGGATCACTTTTAGTTCCAGATCAGATCAGATTAGACTTGTAGAGTTATAAAAAACACTAATATCATACATTACGAAACCAGAAAAATCCATTCCAAATAAAAACATTCTTAAGTGTGAGAAATGACAAATCAAAGGAAAATTATTTGAAAATATATAAGAAAGGATAAAATTTGATCAAACTATTTGAAGATAAAGAGTTTAAAAGGTATATAGTCACCAATACTTTTTAAATAAGGGAGAACTATCATATAAGTCCTCGAACTTTCATAAAAATGCAAATAAGCCCTTTTGTAGGAGGCTCTGTCCGGACATTGCCATTTCGGGCGGTTTCCATGACATTTTTTGATTAAATTTTTTGAGTATTTTCTTCATCAAGTCTAGTTTCTTCATACCAAATTTCAGATAAAAATTCAATCGGGAAGGAAGTCAAATGAATTTTTGAAGATAACTGCGCAGTTAGACAACACAATATATTTCAGAAACTCATTTGGCTGCCTTCTAGATTGAATTTTTAGCTGAAATTTGGTATAGGTAAACTTGACTTAATGAAGAAGATGCACAAAACATTTCATCAAAAACTTCCACCGGAAACCACCCCAAATGGCGACAGCCGGACAAAGCCTCCTGTAAAATGGCTTATTTGCACTTTTTATGAAAGTTCAAGGGTTTATTTGAAAGTTCTCCCTTTAAATAATTAATGTCTTGTTTAACCGCATAATTAATATCGGAATAAAGAATTGGTTTTGAATTACACATTTTGTCTACCAAGAGTGTTAGAAGTATGTATGAGATTATTTATTTTTAGAATGATATTATGTTGCTAATTATGTATGGTGCATGTTGTATTTGTATTAATGCGAAAATAGGTTAAAGTTTATTATCTATGTAAAAAAAAAATTTAGAAAGTAAGAAGTAAATGAATTGTATAATTTATTTGTCACACAACATTTATGATGGATAGTGTACCCGGGGGTAGCTTATCCGGGGAGTTATCGCGGGGAATGACAAGAGAGAAGTTAGAGCAAGTAAGTATAGAGAGAGAAAGTGTATGCAGAAAGTATGCAGCGTTTTTTATCACTTGGTTACAAATGGGGAAATAGGATGCTATTTATAGTAGCAATAAATGTCGGACAGGGACACGTGTCAAGTGCCCATTGGCCGAGAGGTCACCTCAACTGGTTGGCGCTGGCAGCCGCATGTGGCCGCATTTAATGCGGCTGTTGGATGGGACGTTGTACAGGGTACGGTGATCTGTACGCATGTGGCGCGAATATTATGTCGGGAGAGGTGCCCTCGGCTGCAGAGGACTAACCGAGGGCTCTGAGTGCCGGGGACCCCCTGGGTGCCGAGGGCTCCAGGTGCCGAGGGCTACTGTTTTCTGCCGTTTTTCTCCCAGTTTCTTAGTTTGCTTGAAAACCCATTTTGTGAGAGTTTTGAGCCTTCGGCCAGGGGGCCGAAGGCCCCCCGGTGTGCGTTGTGGCTACTAAGTGCTTGGGGCGCCGTAATTTGGGCCTTCTGGGCCTGCTGGGCCTTGTTTGGAGTAGTGGGAGTCTGTGGGCCGGGGGTTCCCGGGCCATATACTCCATCAGGAGTCCCTCACTCCTTTTGCCGAAAGGTACTTGAGGGAAAAGGAGTAATTTGTGCTTGCCCTTTGATGTCGTCCCGTTGTAATCTCTGAAGTTGGTGAGGAGTCGTTGCTTTCATGTCCCTGCCGAAGGCAGTCCCTCAGTTACCCACATGTCGGGACTTGAGGGATTGCTTTGCCGCCTGTTGGAATTTTTCACCATTTTTGTAATTTAATGATTTTCCCGAAGGGGTTCTCCAGTCCCCCACTCCTTGAGGCACTTGTAAAGTGGTGAAAAGGAGTAGAGTTTAGTCCGTTGTAGCGTGGGGCCGAAGGGTGACGCTTTTCGTTTCATTTTGGGGGGATGCCTCGTTAAAAACCTCAATAGGAAAAACCCTGTGGGAAAAAATCCTAATGAGGGAAAAAGAGTGCACCGAATTCCCCCAACGATGAATCGAAAATGTGAAACCTTGGTTCAAAATGGAGAATAACGGAAATGCCGAAGGCTCTCCTTGTTCTGAGGGCTCATGCGTTGATTAGCCGAAGGCTTGCTGTTGATGTCCTGAGAGATGCCGAGGGGGGGGGGGGGCCTCAATCTGGGGATCGAGGGCGTGATGGATGAGGGCAGTAGTTGAATTGTTATCGGGGTGTCCCCCGCTTGTTGATTAGTTGGTGATGAGGATATCCGAGGGCTCCCCTTACCCGTGTGCCGTAGGCTATTTATCAATAAGGCATGCTTCCCGGGGGGTACCCGGCCCTTACAGTGCTGAGGGGGAATCCCCGAGGGGTGGCCTGATATGAAGCCTTGGGCTTCTGAAGGAGTGATCCCGAAGGCGTCTGTCATGTACTGTGTGGGGCACAACCTGGGGGCGTCTCTGGGTAAGTGTACCCGGAGGCTCTTCCTGATGAAGTGAAGTGAAGTAGAAAACCCGGGGGCTCCCAGAATATAGCCTTTGGAAATATAGCCGTTGGGATATGTAACGTCAGGATATAGCCGTTGGGGGGGGGGGGGGGGGGGTACACGTGGTGCGTGATGGTTGGCTGTCCGTGGGCTGCGTCACCGGTTGGGCGAAGATACGGCGCGTAATGATGACGGTCCACCCGGAGGCCCGGTTTCCGGGCCCAAGCCCGGATTCCAGCGCCTATAAATACCCCAAGGCCAGGCACTCCTCCGTGTGCGAAATTCTTATAGCGAAGCTCTGCCAATTTTTCTAGAGAGAGAAACAGCAGCCCTCGATCAAACTCTAATTCCCAGGTCAGTTCTCCACTCGCCCTTCACCTTTCTAGTTAGCTGTCTTATGCCCTTAGGCTAGGAGATAGAATTTTTAGAAAACACTAGCGTCTTCGAGCCTTCGAACCAGAGATAGAATGTCGTCCCAGAGTGATTCTCAAGACATCTCGGGGGCGCCCTCGATGGAGGATGAAGTCCTCTCGGACGTGGAGTCCTCAAGTGCACAGTCTTCGGTCCAGGAGGATGCCGCGATGGCAGTAGAGGTGCAGAGGGAGCTGCTGGCTGAAGTTGAAGCCGAGGGCTTCGAGCAGGAGGTGGAAGACGAAGAGCTGGCCCTCGCCATGCAGGTTGCAGAGGAGGAGGAAGCAAAGGAGAGGACGAGGGTGACCGTGGCTGTCCTTCCCCCTCGGGGTGCTGGTGAGGCCAGTACCTCTCGGCCGCTGGACGCGGTTCCCCTCCGGGTGGCCCCCGGAAAGAAGAAGGCCAAGGTAGCTGCCCCCAAGAAGAAGATTGTTGCTGCCGATCAGGGGAAACCCATAGATATGCCGGAGGGGTATTCCTGGCTCAATACTGCTGCCCTGGAGATCGGGTCGAAGGCTGACAGGGAGGACATGTATGTGACCCAGCTGCACGTGGGGCCCTCGGCTGTGGTGGTGGCGCCGGGCCCAGACGACGTTCTTTCCCGGGCCCCCGAGGGGTGCATTACCGTGCACGTCCTGTCGGTGTCAATGGGGCTCTGGTTCCCCTTGCACCCATTCCTTCGGGAATACCTCCGGTATGTGGGCTTGGTCCCCTGCCAGCTGACGCCCAACAACCACTCCTATGTGGCGGGCTTTCTGAACCTCTGTCGGGCCCGAGGGGTGACCCCTAGCCTGGATCTGTTTTTCCAGAGCTTCAACCTCTTCCGAGGGGGTCATGCGAACGCTGAGGGGTTCGCCAATCTGCAACAGGTGGCTCGGTGGAAGTTATTCACGGAAGCGCCCTCGTCCAACAAAGGCTGGAAGGAGAGGCGGTGTTACGTCAGGGTCACCGAGAGCCCGTTCCCGATGGAGCTCAGGGATCGCTTCCGTCGGCATCCCAAAGTTGGAAGTGCTGCTTTGGAGAAGGATGGCTCGATAATAGCCAAGATCCCGGTGGGCCGCACGAAGCAAGTGTCCATCAAGGACTTCACTGCTGACAAAGAGCTCTTTGCCCTCGGCTTCCGCAGATATCGCTTCCTTGGCGAGACAGATGAGAAGTATCCTGTGCTGACAGGAGGTAGTCTCCGAGGGCTTCCCCCCTTTTTTCTTTTTGTACTTAGGATTTTTCCCCTTCCTTTTCTTTCGCTCTTTTGTCCTTCGGTCTAACCCATTTGTTTGTGTTTGCAGGAGTTAACATGGACGCCGGCAAACTCTTTGCCCTGAAGAAGAAGAAAGGCAAGTCCCAGGCCCAGAAGAAGGACCCTTCGGTTCAACCGCCCGTGGGAGCCTTCTTCCAAAAAGAGGTCCCGGAGCCCTCTGTT